ATACAACATGGTAATTAGACATTTATATAACTTACTAAGTTATCACTCTAAGTCTTGTATCCATGTTTAATTTTTTAATTTTTTTTGTGTGTTTAAACACTTTAATAGCAAACCCTGATGGTGGAAGGTCTCCCTCATCTATGGGCAGTTTTGGGGACTAGATGGGGCTGTCGATGAGGTCTTGCCAGGCTCTGGGACCCAGGCATCACCACTACTTCCCCGGTGAGGGCATCTCATCAACCTGAGGGTGGAAGTCATCATCAAAGATGTAGCTGAGGTGGCTGTTGTCCACTGCCCTTTCCACGTGTTCTGGGGTGATGAGCACCTGGTGGTGGTCGTGGGCCTCCTTGCCCGCCAGGTCCAGGATGTTGGCCGTCAGGTACTCCAGAATGCCAGTGAAGAAAACAGGTGTGCACCAGCTCATGCGATGGGCATTGGAACCTTCTCGCAGGAGGCGATCCACGCGGCTAACAGGGAACTGCAGTTCGGCTCTTGTGGAACGGGAGAGGACGCGCTTCTTACGCCTACGAGAGGAGTGGTGTCTTCTTTCCCCAGACATTGTTTACTGCCTTTTGCCCCACCCCAATTGGACCAGCTGGACTGTCTTGCTGGCCTGGGCCTTTCCAGATACCAGTGCTTATCCTGCTGTATCCTCATGCTCCAGCTCCTCATTGGTCAGGGAACTGCTTTGTGACAACTCAGACTTTGTGATGTCACTGATGTCCACTGGGCCCTGATCAGGACTGGAATAGACATGTCCATGATAAGAACATGGTCTCCTTGTTAACTTTACCAACTTTTTCGGGGAACTCTTTGTACTTCAACAAAAGTGACTCTGAAGCACCAATAGAACATTGATATTATTTTTCTAATTTTATTTTTGAAATATTTATTTTTTATTGTAATTTTCATCTGTACTAATTTTATGTTACCATCTTGTTTTTGTTCATTTACAACTGACAAATTATTCCCATTATTGGCAGAAAAAGGCTGAGAATTCAGTTTTTAGATCTGACCACCTGGAGATTTTTATAAATGGGTCCGTAGAGATCTAGTCTCCATTTTCAGTAGAGAACTTTTCTTAGGAAAAGATCTTAGATGGATAATTGTACGCCTTGAATAGATCTACAGTAACTGGCCAACTTTTACACAAACAGATGCCTTAGACTTAGGGAGTTTTCATCTGGAATATATACTTCTTTGACTTAATTGACTGCATTAATGTAATTGGTGACACTCAGCTAATGTACCTAGACAGAAAGGCAGTTGGTCCAAGTGTCCAGACGGGGACAATATTCGTGAGAGAGTTGTTGAAGCTGGAGGTGAAATGAGGACCAGGGCGGGAGGCGAAGTCCTGCTCCTTCCACATGTCATCTGGACACGGCATGGCCAAGTCCCTCCCTCAGGCCTTGCTAGCAGGCTCCAGGATATAGTACCTATGTGCTTTAGGTACAAGTCCTTTCTTGGATATATCTTCTGCAAATATTTTCTTCCTTTCTGTAACTTATCTTTTTTTCTTTTATTTTTCAAAAATTTTATTTTATTATTCATTTCAAGTATATAGTACATTTGTTAGACATTTATATAGTTTATAAAAAGATCCACTTAATTGCTTTTTTATTCCTTTGGCTCTCCACCTAGCCATAACATTAATACTGACTGCATTCTCTACGTCATGCTCCCCATCTCCATGACCATTTATCAACTCTAATCTGTACTTCTTTAACCTTTCATCCCTTTCTCCCAGCCTCCCCTCTAGCTGTCACCAGAGTGTCCTCTATATCTGTGAGTCTGCTTTTGATTAGTTTGTTCTTTTTGTTCCTTAAATTCCACATATATGTGAAATCATATGGCATATATCTTTTTCTGATTTGTTTCACTCAGCATAATAACCTCTAGGTCCATCCATGCCATTGCAAATGGTAGGATTTAATTTTTTTAATGGCTGAGTAATATTCCATTGTATATACGAAGCATAACTTCTTTATCCAATCATCTGTTGATGGGCATTTAGTTTGCTTCCATATCTTGGCTATTGTAAATTGTGCTGCTATGAACATAGGGTTTTCTCCTTTTCTCAATCATGAATTTCACAGAGCAAAAGTTTATAATTTTGATGAAACTCCCAATTTTTTATTTTGCCAATTATAGTTTTGGTGTCATATCTAAGAACTCTTTGCTTAACCTAAGGTCACAACAGTTTCTCCTGGTTTTTTTTTTTTCTAAAATTTTTAGAGTTTTATATTTTATATTTAGATCTATTATTCTTCTGAGACAATTTTTTGATATAAGCTGTGAGGCTAGGTTGAAGTTCATTTATTTCTCCATGTGAATATCTAATGTTCTAGCACTGTTTATTGTAAAAATTATACTTACTCCATTGAAATGTTTGAATTTTTGTCAAAAATCAGTTACCTATATTTATGTGGATCTATTTCTCTACTTTTTTTTTTACATTGATCTATTATACTCTGTATTCTATTGCACTGATCTATGTGTCTATCTCTTTGCCGGAACTACACAGTCTTAATTACTGGATTATTGCGTTATAGTAAGTCTTAAGTAAGACTTACACTTAAGTCTTCCAATATTTTCTTTTTCAAATTTGTTGTGACAAATTTAATTCCTTTGCCTTTACTTACATATTTTAGAATCAGCGTGTATATATCTACAAAAATCTTACTAGGATTTTGATTTCTGTTGGGTGAAATTTATAGATTACTTAGGGAATATTGTCATTCTACCTATAACAAGTCTTCTAATCTGTGGACATTCTATGCCTTTTCTTTTGTTTAGGTCTTTTTAGATTTCTTTTGAAAGTGTTTTGCCATGTCTAGCATAAATATCCTGCATGTTTTATTAGTTTTATTCTCAAGTATTTCTTATGTTGATGCTGTTGTAAATGATACTGTTTTTAAATTTTCAGTTTCCAATCGTTTGCTGATAGTGCATAGATATTAAATTATGTTTTAATCTTTATAAATTTATAGTTTTAGGAGCTTTTTTGTGTGTGGACTTCTTGGGATTTTCTATGGAGAAAGTCATGTATTCTCTAAATAAAAAGGTTTTAATTCTTCTCTTCCAATCTGTATGCCCTTTATTTCTTTTCTTATTTTATTGCCCTGGCTTGGTTTTTCAATGCAAATGTTCAATAAAAGTGGTGAGAGTTAATGTTCTTATTGTGTTTCTGAACTTAGGGAAAGCGGTCAGCCTTTTACCAATAAGTATAATTTTAGCTCTGGGTAATTTGTAGATGCCCTTTAGCAGGTTGAAGAAATTTCTTTCTATTCCTACTTTGAAGGGAATTTTTATCTGGAATGGATGTTGAATCTTGTCAAATGCTTCCCCTGCTTGCATTGATATGATCATATGTTTTTTCTTCTTTAGACTGTTAATAAGATGGCTCACATTACTTAATATTCAAATATTAATCCAATCTTGTATTGCTATAATAAAGCTCACTTGGTTGTGGTGTATTATTGTTTTATATATTGATGAATTCAATTTACTATTTTTTTTTGAAAATTTTATATCTATGTTCCTAAAAACCATTGGTTTGTATAGACTCCTTTTTTTTTTCTTTTGTATTATCATTGTCTAGTATTGTTATAAAGGTAATGCTGGCCTCATTCAGCAATTTGAAGAATACTTACTTTTCTATTTTCCAGAAGAGATTGTTTAGAATTTAGTTTCTTTAGATCTTGAATAAAATTCCCCAGATTAATTACTGGTCCTGGAGATTTTTCCTTTGGAAGATTTTAAACTACAAAGTCAATTTTTCGAATAGTATGGGATTATCTATTACCTCGTGTGAGTTTTGGTAATTTGTGGCTTTTGAGAAATTGGTCTAATTCAATTCAATTCTATTCGATTCAATTCAATTCAATTCTCCTTTCTTTTTTCCTTCCTTCCTTTTCTTTCTTTCTTTCTTTTTTTGTTATTTGGCTAGAGGTTTAGGAATTTTATCCATCTTTTCTAAGAAACAGCTTTTGGTTTAAATAATTTTTCTATTGTTTTTATTTTAAATTTCATTGATTTCTGCTATTATCTTTGTTATTTTTTTTTCAGATTCCAATCCATAAAAGCAATTTTCTTTCCTTCACTCTTTTTTTTATTTAGCTTCAAGTATACAGTACATTGGTTAGACATGTATTTAATTCATAAAACAATGCCCCAGTTGCACCCCCCTCCCCTGACCCTCCACCTAGCCAACATATTAATGCTAACTGCATTCCTTATGCTGTGCTCCCCATTCTCATGACCGTCCATCAGCTACTAATTTGTACCTTTTTAGCCCTTTACCCCATTGTCCCAGCCCCCAAACCCCCATCCCCTCTGTCTGACACCAAATTGTCCACTATATTTGTGAGTCTGTTTTTGATTAGTTTGTTCTTTTTATTCCTTAGATTCGCATGTAAATGAAATCACATAGTGTTTATCTTTCTCTGTCTGACTTAAATACCTTCTAGGTCAATCAGAGCAATATCTTTTTCCACTCCCTTCCTTTTCATATGTAGGGGTCTTGTTTTCTTATCCTTTCAGCCACTCCATCCCTTGGTTGGAGCACTTAATTCTTTTCTATTTAAGGTACTTATTGATAGGAATGTAGTTGTTACCATTCTTTATTCCTGTTTTTGATACGCGTTTTTTCTTCTTAAAGAAGTCCCTCCAAAATTTCCCGTAATACTGGCTTGGTGGTGATAAATTCCTTTAGCTTAAATTCCTTTGTCTGGGAAGCTCTTTATCTGTCTTTCAACTCTAAATGATAGCTTTGCTGGATAAATTATTCTTGGTTGTAGATCCTGGGTCTTCATCCTGTCAA